GCATTAGATGCAGCAGAATAGCATAATTTTTTTTTTTATATAGTTGAGTGATACCACGAGAGATCGACACGGGTCCAAAAGTTGATATTTTAGATTTCATTCAGTATTTTATATTTCGTGCACCTCTCACCAGGTAGCCCGAAAGTCAACTTCGTTTTATGATTAACGGCATAACTTACGAGAAAAAAAATATCAAACTTCACCAACACGGAGGCACCAATTTCGTCACCTGTCAATTTCGAAAATTGCAGATGCTATAAAAAGACAAATATTTATGTTTCAAGGATGATATTTTTTACCTGATATGCATGTCTAATGAAGAATGAATTCATACGGTTTCAAGTTTGTAGACCTTAAGGAAATAGCTTTTAAAAATGTCTAATTTTGCGACAGTTTAAAATAAGTTACGTATTCCCCATTTTTTTTTTCTCCGAAAGTAATGCAAGCAGTGTTTTCAAACTTGACACGTTTTAAGGATGTAGTGTGTTCAATAGGTACATAAATTATTGCTGCCATAGGGCGAACATAAATTTTTATATATTGCCTCGAAATTCTCATATTGGCAAAAGTGTACTCTACTGAAATTTGAATAATAAAAAAACCCCATCTTCGATTTTTCTTAAAATCTCTTAAATAGACAACCGAAGGCCAACATACAGTAATATAGAAAAACATGTTGCATTATTTTGTTTTTAGTGACAATATTCGTGGCACAAATCGGAGCTTTTCGAGAATGTGCTGATTAGTTGAGAAATCTAGAAATCGGAACGGAAAAGCGGCAATGAGCTTCAAACGCGAGTAAGCGTGACCGCACTTGGTGAAGAAAGGCTGTTTTAGCAGATAGGAGTAACTATCTTGAACACAATATTCTACAGTTATACTACTCTTATACTATTCTATTCTACTCTTATACGTAGAGCAGTGAGACTTCTAATATGTGGTGCCTCTCCATTACTGACCCACAGATGGAGCTGCTGTGATGGCCATGTGTTTGCAACACGTTGGGTAAGAGAATTGAATGTTGAATGAGTTCATAAACGATTCATAACAAATTTTTATCATTTGGGGCACGAAATGATGGCATTAGGCTGAAGAACACGCTTTAGGGCAAATTGTCATCCGTCGTCTGCTCTACAGATGAATTGCTGTGCGCCGCATCTCGGAGGCAATGCTTTAGATCATATGGTTCAAAGTAGGGACAAAGATTATGCCTCCCGTAATTTTATCGATAAAAACATTGTGAAATTCATTTTAACGTACTTTACTTCAGTTTTGCATTCACACTGCGGATACTTGCGCACGCTGTTTTACGTCTGCTCTCATTAAAGGTGAGAGACATAGGAACAGAAGACAAATAGATCACTTTCGTGCTGCTGGTTTCACGCATAGTTGCATTGCCAGTAATTTGAGCCTCAAAGAGCGTGGCGATGGCTGACCACTTCAGCCGGGATAGTTTTTTGTTCCGATTACCTCAATCATGAATAAAAAGAAAATACCTTATCAAAGAAACTTCCGCAAGGTCGAAGACATCGGCCTGTTTGCCCTCCAGAAGCTTTTGCCGAAAGCTGCCCGCCTTGCACATAACAACGACCACGTCTGCCAGAACTCCTTCAGATGCCTCAGAAATATGCTGTCTTCGTCTAATGGCTTCTCAGCTGAAACAGGTGATGAGTTTTTGCCGGAAGAAGAAAAAGGCAGAAGTCAAGAGCGGTGCGTAAACATGCCTGAAGCATTCTCAGATATGCGACTGGAGAAGCTACATGCGCAAAATAGCAAAGTTCATCATTTAACCATATGGTGTAGTAGCGCAATTTTCACGGGGACGAAGAGGACAAGAACACACGACACTAAGTGGTACTGCTAAGTGTGTTCTTGTCCTCTTCGTCCCCGTGAAAATTGCGCTACTACACCATATGGTTAAATGATGTCTCACCAACTAGCCCAGCTCTCAACCCTACTGAGCAAAGTTCATGCAGAGCCAAGACAACTTAGCAGCAATTCTACAGTAACCGTGAAATTCCATCGTAACGTGTGTAACCGCCACTATCAACCATCAGATCTAAAATGCAGTGTGTGTGCCCAGTGGTTCAAGAACTTCAAGCAAGCCTATGAAGCGTGTTCTTCTTATCAAGATCGCATGCTTTTGTTGACACTGTCGCCGAGCGATATAGAGCGCCGAAAACTCCAAGCGCTGATACTAAACTTGTCAGCTTACATGATATACAGATCCAGACGCTGGCGCGCAAAAGACGGGATATGGTTAGCACCAAACGCGGTAAAAAGGACACGGCTGAACCCAATGGACGTCCACGCAGCTGTGGCTTACTATTCCAAAGATGAGTATAGCTGCTTTCGGCAGAGTCTCAACAAAAAAGATGTGGTATCTGTTATCATTGACGGAAAAAAGGAGCTTGTTTCGAAAAGGTTTATGACCCCGTTCGGTGCGAGAGGCTTACCGTCTCTTTAGAGAAGCTAATCCGAACACATCTATTGGGCTCTCAAAGTTTTATTCATTGAGGCCAAAGTGGGTTCTTCTTGCACCACACGAAGTGTGCCTTTGTATATACTGTGCTAATGTCACGGAGTGTGTTTCTGCCCTACAAGACGTCACCAATGGTGCCTAAATGGCGGACTTCTTGAAAGAACTGTGTCTTTGCAGCTCCCCTACAAGAGATTGTTTTTTAGGCCATTGTGACTATTGTGCTAAGGAGGAGGCTCTGACAGCCACATGTTTAGGAATCCCTGAATATATTGAGGTAGCCTATGCAGTATGGAAAATGGCGATCTAGTCAAAAAACAGCCCAGGCAAGTGCTTTTCTGCGAGAGCTAAGTCTATGGTTCGTGAAGTGGATTACCCATGATTACATAAGATACATTCAAGAATCAGCAGTATGCCAGGCGAAAGGAAACCAAGAAAAAGAATCTTGCATTTTTCACTTTGATTTCGCCGTAAATTGGACTGCCATTTTACCGAATGAGGTACAGTCATATCACTGGCACAAAAGACAGGTGTCTATATTCACGTGTGTCGTCACAAGTAAGCAATCAATTCAAAGTTTTGCCGTTATCAGTGATGACACATGCCATGATGCTGCACATGCCTGTTTTGCTCTACAAATAATCCACAACTATATGAAGGAACAACTTAAACCTGACACGCATGTTACTTATGTTTCTGATGGTGCATGCAGTCACTTCAAAAACAAGTCCCAGTTGTTCGAGTTATGTCAGAAAGATCATATATCAACAAAGTGGATTTTTTCGGCCACAGGACATGGCAAGAACTCTTGTGACGGCGTTGGTGGCCTACTAAAGCATCAGGCTATGCTCTAAAACCTCAGAGTGGCAAGCTCAGCTGTGATTTTGTCAGCATCCCAAATGGTGGCGCAAATGAGCGCGAAGCTCAAGAATGTCAAGCTGCTGTGTGCAAATGCAGACGAGCTAGAAACATTCCGTCAGTTTAAGAAGAGCCAGTGGAAATCGTTGCCACGTGTTCCAGGCAAACGTTCTTCGCATGTTTGGCTAAGCACATCTGAGGGCACTGATCGTGGCCGTGTTTTGTTAGCGTCACGTACTGCTAAATGTGGTCTGCAAAAGATGCAGCCATTTTGAGCGCATCTCTTGTTTCACGCAGTCACCACCAAAATACCAGTGAGAGTACTTCAAGTGCATATGCTTTTTCTAGCGAGACCCAACACTTACGTTGGAACATTTTCATGTTTGAGTTTATCTGCAAATATAGACGGATGTTTTGCAACTGAGTTACAGTGTCAAAGATTTCCTCCATTAGAGCTGTGTTATGAGGAGCATAAATGCGCCTTCATGGGTACGCATTTGTCACAGTGCTAAAACAGCCCTTCTTCACCAAATGCGGTCACGTTTACTCGCGTTTGAAGCTCATTGCCGCTTTTCCGTTCCGATTTCTAGATTTCTCAACTTATCAGCACATTCTCGAAAAGCTCCGATTTGTACCACAAATGTTGTCACTAAAAACGAAATAATGCAACATATTTTTCTATATTACTGTATGTTAGCCTTCGGTTGTCTATTTACGAGATTTTAAGAAAAATCAAAGATTGGGGTTTTTTTATTATTCAAATTTCAGTAGAGTACACTTTTGCCAATATGAGAATTTTGAGGCAATATATAAAAATTTTTGCGTTCGCCCTACGGCAGCAATAATTTATGTACCCATTGAACACACTACATCCTTAAAACGTGTCAAGTTTGAAAACACTGCTTGCATTACTTTCGGAGAAAAAAAAATGGGGAATACGTAACTTATTTTAAACTGTCGCAAAATTAGACATTTTTAAAAGCTATTTCCTTGAGGTCTACAAACTTGAAACCGTATGAATTCATTCTTCATTAGACATGCATTTCAGGTAAAAAAATATCTTCCTTGAAACAAAAATATTTGTCTTTTTATAGCATCTGCGATTTTCGAAAATGACTGGTGACGAAATTGGTGCCTTCGTGTTTGTGAAGTTTGATATTTTTTTTTCTCGTAAATTATACTGTTAATCATAAAACAAAGTTGATTTTCGGGCTACCTAGTGAAAGGTGCACGAAATATAAAATACTTAATGAAATCTAAAATATCAACTTTTGGACCCGTGTCGATCTCTCGTGGAATCACCCAGTTATGTGCATAATTTAAGTTATGGGTTATGTGTAATTTTAGTTATAGTTATGTGTATGATTTAAGAAAGCAGGAGGGGCTCCTCTCAAATTGCCTGGGCATGGCAACCCTGACTAGACAAATAGTAGCTGCTCTCTGGCGGTGGGGGGCGTGCATGCCCATTTGATGTTCATTCGCCTTCCACGGCCTTTTCTTTAACTTACTCCGGAAATAGTGTGCTACACACTATTCTCATAAGCATGGTGTGATCACAGTTGCAGACATGGCGATACATGTCTAGAACTCTAGTATTATTGCGTCCTGTGCACATTTTCAATGATCTCAATTTTTGTTATATTTTGTCGCACTCTGTCCACAGGGCCTGGATGCACACAAGTACAAGAATACATTTGACTGCATGCTACAGATTGCAAAGAATGAGGGCTTTCCTGCGTAAGTTGTTGCTGCCTTTTTTTTTTTTTGATGCGTACAATGTACAATTCAAATTGTTGATCTTGTATACGAGCTGTTTATTCTAAATATAGCAAAGATTTGAAATGCCCAGAAATTGATGAAACCCAGAAAAAGAAGGGGGGGGGGGGGGCAATTTGCTGAGGTCGTGAGCTCCGCAACGGCAGCGCCATTAAGGCTAATCAGAAAAAGTGTTTTCAAATTTTATGCCTCAGTTGGCTTCTCTTTTCAAAAACAAGTGCACAAAAACAAATGTCTGAAGGTCATTTCAAGCCCTCCAAATGACCATGTCCACCATGGTGCTCCAGAATGCCTCGCCATTGATTGGACGCTCGCTCTGGAAGGGTGTCGTCTTAGCGCGACACAACGTCATGGTTTTCGAAAACCAAGGTACTTAGTGACACATGCGCACTTTATCTGTACGCAGAGGTAGGTGAGCGTTCAGAGTATAATAATGCTGTAGTTTCACAGCTACATCAGTGTACAGTATGTCTGTGTTTTTTTAATTGTCTGTGCATCACAGCACGGTTCACCAATAGTGCAAGTGTAAGGACATTGTATAGGACAAACCGGGCGGTGCATTAACGTGAGACTAAGGTAACACTTAACCTCTTTAACGGCTGCTGGCGGGTTGCACTTACCAGTTCATTGTAGGGAGTGTGGCTGCCAATCTATGGCAGGTAAAGCCACTTGATTGTTTGGACATTGGGACAAGTGCACTAGGGAAGTGATGGAGGCTTGTTTCATTGAAAGGGAGGTGGAAAGGTGTGTAAGTAAGCCACCTGTGGCCCTGGGTGAAAAGAAGGTTCGGTACCTGGGTTCAGCACTGCCATGTTAAAGTGATTATTAGTTTGTTGTAAACTGTTGCGTATGTTTTTGGCAAGTATGAAGGTGTGTTTTTTTTTTTTTGCTCTTTCACTGTTGTTACACTTGTGTTGCAGTTCACAATAACTAGGCATGTTCCTTACCTTGTTTGCTATGCTGCGCAGACACCTTTAGTTTGCCACGTGACCGGGTCGGCTGCATGATATATGTGCGTGTGTCTTCCAATAAAGCTTAGTTGCGAGATCAGTGCGGTGTCGTCTCTTCTTTCGTCCTTGTCAATAATTTTTGTGCTGTTTTTACTTCCGAAGCATGAACCATCAACTATACCAACTTTCGCTATTATTAGTACAGTACAGTGCCGCATTCGTTGCGAACGTTGCAGGCGTGTCTCCGATCGATTCATTCTGCTTATCAGTGTTCCGAACTTCCTGATGAAGGCAATCGTGGAGCCACTCTCTGTACTTGGGATCGAACGTGACGTGCCGTATTTATTCGAATATAGATCGTTCTTGATTGCAGGCTGACCCCCGAGTTCGCAAGACAAGAAAAAAAAATATTGCAGCATATCCACGGAGTGAATGATGATGAATGGGTGGAAGTGTCTGTTCGTCTGTCCTTCCATCAGTCCATGCATCCATCCATCCTATTGCACACACTTCATTGGACAAACACCATTGAGGAAATGAGATGAAAAATGGTGATGAGACAGTGCCATCTATTATACTCTTTGGGAGATACTACCGGTTACGCCTGATGCAGGGCAAAGTTAGACTAAGAGGGGCTTCGCTCCAAAAAAAACTTTCCTCAGATGCAGGTCGAATGAAAAAAATGCTGTTTCACAGACAACCCGGCATTTTTATTGCATAAGCACACACTTCATAGGCACGTATGTTTATTCGGCGTCGACGTCGTCGTCATCTGCTGCATAGCTGTTTTCTTTGTTACTCAGTTCTTCCCAAAGGGTGTTGTCTTCACCTCCGTACATCGCTTTTCAAATACAAACTTTTTAGAGGCTGTGATGAGGATGTCATCTTCACGCGGCAGTGATCCAGTTCGCCAGTTGGTCGAGCGAAGCACGCTTGTCTTTTTATTTTAAACTAAAAAGCGAAGCGTGTCTCCAGTGTTTTTTTTAATTGTCTGTGCATCACAGCGAGGTTCACGAATAGTCGAGCCCGCTTATAACGAACCTGAGCGTGACGCAGCATGCGTTCGCTGTATCCCAAAGTTCGTAGTAAATGAAACACAGATATTAAAAAAAAGTTGCGAGTGAAAACACAAACTTTTTTGCCCCAAAAAGTCCGTGATGCACGTGTTTCGTAGAGCAGAAGCGATAAGAACGGTCTCGAGTTCATTTAAAACAGCAGGGTGCTCGTTCGCCGAGGCCCATGGCATAAGCTGCACGAGGCGCTGGCTCCGAAGTTTCGTCATTCTCGCAATCCCATTCTTTCAAATCGCTTTCGCCATGTACTTCATTCACAATGCCCCAATCCGTGGACGGTTCCGCAGTGTCGGCATCATCATCAGCCGCAATTAAACCATCGCAACAGATGTCCCACCCGCTCTCCCAGGTCGGAGTCGACGACGCACTGCCACAAATCGCCGCCGCAGTGGTCCTGTTCGGAAGCTTCAGGCTCGGCATCAAGCCCTACGTCGACGAAGTCGGCCTCGCGAAAACAGTTTTGTGCGCATGTAGCCGTCACTGCCGCCCACGAATTATTCACCATCTCCACAGCTGAATATTGGGACGCCCGAAGCGGAAAGTTGGCTGCCAGGTGGTCAACAGCTATGAGCAAGCGCTCCGCAACGCGGCACCTAAAGCATGGATTACGCTCAAGACAAGCGGTCACACTTTCGACGTTTTGTTGAGCGGCAGGAAAAATCGTGCTAGCCTCCTCCAGTCAGCCATCATGACCACACACGCACACCAAGAGCGAGCAAGACGCGCACACGCAACACACATGCCAGAGCGCGTGGAATAGCTCTGTGCCAATTTCTAGTCAGAAAAAATGGCAGCATATCCACAGAGTGAATGATGGAGAGTGGGGCGAAGCATCCATCCGTCCATTCGTTCTTGCTTCCGTCTGTCCATGCATGCGTCTGTGTGGCCGCCCGTGCGTCCATCCGCCCGTCCGTGTGTGTGTCTGTTCGTGCGTCTGCACGTCCATCTGTGCATCCATCCCTGCGTTCGTCCATGCATCCACTCCTGCCTCCGTCCGTGCAGCCATCCGTGCGTCCGTTCATGCATCTGTCTGTGTGTCCGTTCGTCCACCTATTCAACACTCCAAGTACCACCATCTCGCATCTTTTCATCATATATTCCTCATATAGAAGCGCTGCCATTCAGTGGACATTCCAAAGACTGAACGAGAGGAGGCACACGCACACTTTCTTTCGGCTTGCGCTTCGTGTCTACTTCCCACCTTTAACCACCTCGAGCTCATGGTATATACTAGTTCACTGTATTCATGGCACTGCGGCCCAACGCTCGCTAAACCTTTCTAAAACCAAGGAGGTTACGCCCAGCGAGTATAACGTAGCAACCCTTTCTTGTCAGATAGTGCTCACGGTACATGCCAACGACTGCTAAGGGGGAATGAGAGACAGGAGAATTCGGCTTTTAGTTAACGCACACGTTGCGAGTTTTTTATTGTTCAACAACGCACAGAAGAAATCTCCTATCGGCACCACCGTGGAGGTCAAAATGTAAGACTGGTTACACACTACTACTACGACTACGAGGGATGAACGAGTGCCGCTATAAGGAGCTTCGCCCCTAAAACGAAACTAATTCGAGCCAGCGTGGCAGGCGTTGCGAAGCAGTGAAAATTGGCGAAGAGGTTGTGATCAAGAGAGGAGAGCAAATTTGCGAGAGAAGGGCAAGGAGTTGCGATAAAGAGAGGGGAGGATGCGGCGGGAGGGCGATCTTGAAAACCAAAACACAGGGGGAGGCAGGTTGGGTAGCTTGCTTGAAAGGTCCGCGAAACTCGCCCGTAAAAAAAAAAACTTGGAAAGAGTGCCTATGCACGGCGGTGTTCGAAGAAATGGCGGCCGTGTTCAAAAAATCGTTCTGTTGCGCAGGCGGGTTCGCGTGGCCTCACGAACTTCGATATTTCGCGATTCAATCCGCACAAATTAAAAGCTGTGTTCGTGCTTCCGCACTCGCACCGAAGGCTGCTGAGTCGAGTGTGAAAGTGAGGGAGAACAAGTCCTAAGCACGAAACAAATCGTGAATTATCAGAGTCGGTGGGGTAGCGTACACACGTGCACTAGACGCAGACTATCAGATACAGTCGGTGGCCGACGATGTTGGCAAATGGTCTGGTCACTCCAGGCCGGCGACGCCAACGACAGTATCAGCGATCAAAAACAGGGTAGATGGCCGTCCGGTCTTCGAAATATCGATGGCAGTGTGAAAACACTGGCCTCGTCTGGCGATGCGGGGTGCTGAGAGTAGCGGGGGGACAAAGGATGGAGGGGTGCATAACAAAAAGCAGTTATGGCATAGAGGAAGGAAACAGCTTTCCTTCCTTCATGGGTTGGGGAGAGCGGCAACTAGAGGGTCGCGGAGGCAGGGTTGGCGTTTTAACAATAAGAATGTATGGGCACCTCTCTGATGCCTGATCGGTGGTCGAAAGTGGTTTCCCGGGAAGTCGGCAGACCACTGACTCCGTTCGCTGCAACTGATCAGCAGCGCTCGGAGACGTTCGTTGTAAGTGCGATTTTGTGCCATTGAACCAATGTATATTATCACGGTCACACGGATATTGTTCGTTTTAAGTCGGGCCGTTATATGTGGGCTCGACTGTAGTGCAAGTGTAAGGACATTGCGGCTGACTAGCGCACAGCGATCGAAGGCCATAAAACTGCCCGCACCAACTGACAATCGCTTGCTGCAAATACGAAACCTTAAGGCCCCACCACATACATGCGATTTTCAAGCAACGACGACAAGGTTTGGTGTTGCCATGGCTGTAGTGAAAGACCATTTGTCCCCCAGGAATGTCACAGGTTTGTTAAAAACCAAGAAAGATAGCTTGTAGCCCAGAAAAGAGCGCGACAATTTTCGCAACGTGGTAGCAGCCCTGATCTTCACTTTCGTTTTAATTCGCTCTTCATGCTTGTTATCCGTGCCTACGTCAAGGAACACAAGAGAGAGGATAGCTTATCTACAGTCACTTCTCATGTGAACAGCGAGGCGGGAGCTGTACTTCGTCATTTATCTTGTTATCGTTGGTTTATTTTGATGCTTCGATGGTAGCTTACAGCAATGTTGGTTACTTACTGCAATGTCAAAGACGTCGTTGCAGTCATTGTGCAAGGTTGCCATGGAGTTGGCAAACTGCCTCGTAGCACACGCTTCTGGGCGCTCCTCTAAACGCCAGCTGATACCACTGTTGCGCTGGAATGATTGCAAGCAAAAAAGGCTGCAAAATGCTTTTACGGAGTGTACAGGCGACGCGGAGACAGCTTGCGCCTTCAACCACCGAAGATGCAAAGTGCAACAAAGAAGCTATTTCCAAACAGTGTGCACGTATGTCAATTGCAAAAGGTTAAGCTGCTAGACTCTTCTTTTTATTTCTTTTGTTAGTGCATTTTAGGCTCATCCCAAAAAAGTTCTCATAAAATTTGCTCCGCAGAATAAACGCACCTCGACTTCGCTTAGATTTTTCAAAGAAAAAATTTTGTTCATTACCCAAGTATATTTGATATTCATTAAATTCCTATAGCATTAAAAAAACATTTCCAATGAGTGTGCCAGTTTTCATCGTGATCCATGAAGAAATGAGAAAGTTGGTGTCCTCTGAAATAAAGTTTGAATCAATCGATCAATATCCACGAAGGGCAGCCTTATTTTGTTAGCAACACTTCATATAGTCCTGTAGGGGCTATAGATAACTAGTAGTTGTCATCAGTGATGGTGATTTTGATAAGCGGCCTTTTCTCCTGCTTTTTATGCACAGCTTCTACAAGGGCACGATTCCACGTCTGAGCCGCGTCTGCCTCGATGTAGCCATCACGTTCATGATCTACGATTCATTCATGGACCTCTTCAACAAGATCTGGAAGACGAGTTAAGCAGTCCCTCTCGAGCACTCAACTTGAACCTGGCCGACATGGCAGTTCTGAACCCTCAGTGTGGCTTCTAGTGATGTGTGGTGTTCTTTTACCCCCGGTGATGCTCACAGGAACATGCTTTTGGGAAGATGTTTTATTGCTTTAAGTGGTTGGTTGTCAGTTGGACATTTCCAAGTTTATTATGGAACGTGAGTGTAGTGTTGCTGTTAGGACGGTGATTTTTTTTTATTTCCTGCTTTCATATTTTTTTTTTCTGTTAAGCGTGCAAACATACCGTGATTATCTATTGCATCGCGAGGGCCAGTCTAACCAGGCAAAATATTTGGGCTGCGACGTTGTTAGTGAGGTTTTGGCTTGGGTTCCAAGGACTCATTGTGCATTGTGTTTGCTGAAGCTGGAAAATGAAACTTTTCAGTATTTCTCACATACAGTTTTGTTGCAGTTACTATTTTAACCTGGTCTTGTGGAGCAAACCTTGTACACACCATTTGTCATGTATGCAGCATAAAGCAGCATGACAGAATAATGGCATACACTATAATTTGAATTTTTGCATCATTGTCACATCATCGCAGTGGCCGATGCATTTGTGAGAGGAGCTGATACCATTCCCATTAGATCTATTAAAAGTTGATGAATAATCTGTGTATCTGAATAATGGTTTTAAAGATCATATCAAGACATCACTTGGGCATTTGACACCTGAAAAAAAAAAAAGGAATTTCGTGTCTTTACTATTTTCCAAGAAAGTGAAGGCACTACTGCCAAATTTGCATATGTGTTGCATGTACGAGAATGTTTTTTTTTGCTACATCTAGGAAATTTCGGAAGTTGTCTTGGCGCACAGGGTGCCCATGTCTTTGTTCTTATTATGCTTTTTCTGGAGAATTGGAACTTTTTAGGTTTTCTTCTTTCGAGACTGTTCCACGTAGTCATTGCTTGTGGCAGCTTGAGCAGTTGTGAGCGACTGTGACCACCACTATAATTTCGGTTGCTCTCTTACTATGGTTGCGATTATTGTTTCAATATCTCCATTTAGTAGTGAGCACCTGTATTTGGTCATTCTGGGACCATGGTTCATACTTATAACTTGTGGCCTTCATTTATTGCATTTTGAAGTAGGATTGGACTTCTCTCTCACAACATTACTTCATTCAGATAAGCCATATGACTGCATGGCTTTTTGTTTACTCTTCTGTTGCAATCATTGTTGTCTTGTTCATTTTTTATGTTTTGGCCTTTTTACAAACTAATTTATCATATTGTTACATATTCTGGGAACAGTTTTCTCTCTTCTTTTTTTAATGATTTGCTATAAAGCTTTGTGGCATACATTCCAGCTGGAACGGCATGACTTGCGAACCTACAGACCTTGTCATTCAGCTAAGGTGTACTATGCTACTTTAGCTATCTTGCATTAGTATACCTTGTGGCAGACCCTCAATAATTCCAACTTGGATTAACTTAATGCAGACTGACTTAAAATTTTTCGGTTGGCCCTTTATGTTCTCACTGTAGTTTCTGAAATCAAACTGCTCCTGAGCATAATTCAGGTAAAGGGGAATGCTACTTGAAAAATACAGGTCTTTTTTTTTTTTTTTCAAAATTACTTTTTTTTTTACTTAACCCTGAAGGTTTAGTTTCTCTACTTTCATGGCGAGAAATCAAGGTGGAAACTGAAATTTAAGCAGGTCAATATAGTCTTCAAGGAGCACAAGTTGGCTATTAAAAGCTATGTAGAGCTCATTGTATCCTGGAAATAATCACCTTGCCATTGCATTTCGCTTGAGGAGTAAACCTGAGCAACATGCTTAAAATGACCATGATTCCAAAGCTCTCATGATAGAAGAAATTATCTTAAAAAGCAAATCTTTGCTTCCTAGGTGAGCTTTCATTTGTACGTTTAAAATTTTCTTTTTTGAAGACACCATATCGGGCAACTGCTTGAGTTTGGACATTGTGTTTTTGGTACTTCTGATGAACAGATTGGTACGCAGTTTTTTCCATCTATTTGTTAATATGTTAAGAGTGGTTATTTCCTTCAAAACCTGATATCACTAATATAAGTAATACAAACTTAATGGGCTGATGATTTTAAGACTTTTTACGTCGCAATTTTTCTTCATTAAAATGTCTTATACACTCCTTCCTGTTACTTATTTGCATTCTACAGTAAAGGTGGAGCAATATGACCCCCTAAAGACCTCTGACAACAAAAGTTTTGCTTGCGACTTTTTTACTGTTATTTGTAGCATTGTGTGTGCTAATACCGAAAGTGAATAATAAATGCTCTAATACATCAAATAATTAAGGCTAGTATCATTAACAGAGAGCAATTTTATGTCAATTTTAAACAACCACATACATATCATAAACTAATGCATGTAGGGCATCTGAGACTACGTGCACTCATGCAAGGCCTTCGAGAGGGCGAGCATGCAGCGCGTTTCTCTCAGGCTGTCCCAATCGCGCGAAGGGAGCGCGTTTCCAGAGGCGGACATGGCCTACTCTTTTCTCGGCTCTGCGGCGCTCTCACAGGGGATCGGAAAAGCTGCCGCACTGTTATGCAGCTTGCATGTAGCGAGCACAAATTAGTTTAGCACTTTTATATAACATCGCGCTCATTTGTAAATGTTAGCTCGAGGTGTACAAGAGGCAAAGTCAATTCTGGGGCGTATATATTCTGAAATGAGCTTTTTTGCTGCAGATTTGTGCTACCCATATTTGAGTACTTATAATTGCGATGCCTCAGCAAGGAGATCCGCATGTGCTGGAAACATACTTTACTTTACTTTGATTGATTGATTGATTTGTGGGATTTAACATCCCGAAACCATCATATGATTATAAGAGACGCTGCAGTGGAGGGTTCCGGAAATTTCGACCACCTGGGGTTCTTTAATGTGCACCCAAATCTGAGCACACGGGCCTACAACATTTCCGCCTCCATCGGAAATGCAGCCGCTGCAGCCGGGATTCGATCCCACGACCTGCGGGTCAGCAGCCGAGTACCCTAGTCACTAGACCACCACGGCGGGGCCTCACTGTACTTTCAAGTTGGCAGGCTATATAGTAGTATACAGGGCAGTGGCGAAGAAAAAAAAAATTGACAGCCCGATCAACAAGTGACGTCGGAAAAGTGCCACGTTCTACGCTCATGGGTCGCACTCACTTAAAAGCGTTGCATTTTTTTCCCTTTCATGGAACTAGCGCTGTTTTTGATTGTGACGCTGTTTCAAGGATCTTCCGTTCGCACCACAGAAGCAGCTGATAGACAGGAAGGAGGGTGGAGGCGGTCGTCGTGCGTTGAGACTACGTCTAGACCGAACATTTCCAGTTCTACTGACTGCGGGCTGGTTACAGGCACGTTTTGGTCACTTATGGTCACCCATTCGTACTTGATATGTTGTCCAGTGGATACGTTGAGCAATTTAAAAACGAACATTGAAATGTTTTACTTCTTCAAGAACTATGCAATATGCATTCAGGGCTTGATGTAGCTGGTATTGAACACTGCGGTGTTACATAGCAGTGACTATCTTCGCTTTTTCTTTCTTTAGTAGTCTATCTCGGCGAATACTTAGAAAGGCGCCGTTGTGCTACATGTCCGACCCTTTGATTTGGATGCTGTCGAGAATACAGTAAATGAAGACGACACTGACATTGCCATTGTGCTAACAAAACATAATCAAAATTCAGATGGCGAAAGAGGAGACGATGACAATTATGGCACTTTCACCATGAAAGACATGGGGAGTGAATGTAGGTCGGCTAGTCAAAGCCTCCAATATTTTGGGAAAATTACTTATAATTTTACTTCAGTCACATGACCAGGGCACTCTGTTATCTATAGTGTAACTGTGGTTCGGTTGAACACCTCATAAATATCCGTACGTGATAAAAAGTGAAATGATGTGTCACGATAGCAGGGCAATATGATTTAACAACAATTCACCTAGTTTTCACCTATGTCTCTAGAAAGGAGGCTTGTATTTCTCAAATCGAGGTATTTAGCACCGAGACAAAACAAGTTGTAATGAAAAAAAGTAATACTGCCGCCGACGAACTGATACCTTCAGCAGTTGCCATCCTTTTCTTCGTAAATTGAACTAAAATAAAGGCAGTAACAGTAAAAAATACTTGCCTTCAGTACAGCCAGAAGTTTCTGCTGGTGATTCTTGCTCGTACGTGAAAAAAAAAAAGTTTGCCCGCTGGAATCCCGTGCGCTCTGCTTTCTGCTGCGATGGCGTCTCTCATAATCATATGGTGGTTTTGGGACGTTAAACCTCGCATATCAATCATGCTTTCTGCCGCAGTCTCCACTGCCACTGTAATACGCAATGAATGCACCATCTCACGATAGCCAAGCACATGAGGCGATACTCGTGGATTTCGCCAGGGAGATGCCCACGCCCCATCTCAAAGGCCATGGCTCATGTTTCAATGATGCTCAACGCACCGGGCTCAAATCTATCAAAATATAAAGACCCTTGCATGCTGAAGAATGAAATTATGTCGGTACTTTGAGCCTGTCCCCCTCAGAAGAAAGAAAAGCATTGCTGGCGGAAGCAGCCAAAACCATTATGAGGGCAGCCCGATGACGGAACGAGAGGGGCGATGAACAATATTCCCCTGCGGGTGCCAGTCCGCACATTGTGCACACCCCAAAAAAGTTCTTCGACGTCAACAATACTTAGTCGTAGAGCATCACACGGGGCCTCGGTCTACGTCTTGGTGGTGTGATGAGATCCTGCCAACTCATATCACTTCAATATCAAATTACAATATTTTAACATCACCATTCAGTACTACTAATCATCATAAAAAAAAGATCCCATATTCAGGACAAACAAACAACTCAAACATTTTGAGGTTTCAATTTTGGTATTAGCGGACCCTTATTGGCTCATAAATCGAATAAAATTTATTCAATTCGATGCTGAAATCGCATAGTACATATTGGAAATATTGTACACTTTTTATATCATGAGCAACGATGAAATGATGCCCGAAATAACTCGACTTTTGACGAGTGATGGATAACTTTCTTTGGTATCTTATTCAAATTACCCAGATTCACGCAGCCCATGTACTTACAGGACTATCGGCTCCGCGGCGGTGGTCTAGTAGCTAAGGTACTCTGCTGCTGACCCACAGGTCGCGGGATTGAATCCCGGCTGAGGCGGCTGCATTTTCGATGGAGGCGAAAATGCTGTAGGCCTATGTGCTCAGATGTGGGTGCACGTTAAAGAACCTCAGGTGGTCAAAATTTTCGGAGCCCTCCACTACGGCGTTTCTCATAATCGTGTAGTAATTTCGGGATGTTAAACCCCACATATCAATAAATCAATCAATTATAGGACTATCGATGCTCTAATAATCACAAATCTTAGGCACTTTCGCTTGAAATCAGTGTTGCTGAAACGACAGAATCATCAATCTACTGATTTCACCATGACATTCATGATAATACTAACTCATGAAGATTGCTCAATATGTATGAATAAGTTATTTAAAAGCTGTTGACAAAGTGCCACCTTGAATACTGTAGTCACTGCTGTATTTTATCCTGTAGTTGCATAATAATTTGAACGCTCTATCTGCAACTCTAAACATTCCGTCCTCAGTTTAAAGAATTCTGGTATTTTTTGTTGCTTAGAACCAATCTCGATGCTTTTTGTTAGATGTTGTTAACATTTGTTTCATTCGTTTCAATTGAAATTCTGTATAATTCCTGGGCTGTTTTTGGATATGTTACGTTACCAGTCAACAACTGCTTTTGAAATGATTGCCATTCTATTTGAAACCTATTAGTACAATACTAGGGTCATTTTCGCATTCGATTCAGTTCTGAAGTTCACTATTTGCACACCCCTACTCATAACCATGAAAGCTTTGGGGCCAAAAAGTATGTTAGAAAAGAGCTTAATATATTACACATTATGATGCTACAAAACAGTTATGCAAGTTATTATGGTTACATATTCAAAATAACCAAGAAAGCCTATGTAAACAGCACAAATTTTCTAGGGTAACTTTTTTTTTTTTCAAATAGTATTACCCTTATTATGCCTAAACTACAGGTTTTCCCGCTCACTTTAATCCAAGTTGCAACCTAAATAATCTGCACGCCATTGAAATAATCTGAGCACCAAGCTCTTTAATCCATGTGCCAACATTTAATCCAAGTGCCAACATATTTAATCCAAGCGCCAACACAATCAGGCCGCATGCCAGTGAGTTTAATCCAAGTGCCATCGTGTTTAATCCAATTGCCAATGACTTTAATTCAGGTGTCAGTCAGTTTAATCCATGCACAAAAAGCACAATGCGGGGCGTAAAAACGGCAGTGCATTTGAAACGCAGCTCCTACAATATAAAAGACAATAGTTGGAAGGTAGAATAAATCATTGTTATTGATATTCGCCCCAAGTATTCATGAAAACAATAATTACTGCCGCGGCTTGCTTGAGCCGTGGTGGGAGTGCTTATACTTTGCTATGTACAAGTTTGTAAATGAGTGCTTGGCCCGGGTGGAGTCATTTCAATGGCAACAAAAGAAAAAAGCAAGAACATGTTAAGCAATATTTTGTGTTCGTCAACAAAGCTCATAATTGGATTTGATTTACATGACCGGGCCAGGTCATGTAATGCGAAAGTCATAATATGGTTATTGGAGTGCCGGAATGCATACCAAGATATGGAAAACTTGACCATTGATGAGTCAAAAGCAGGTACATGCTCAATAAGAGGGTCCTCACAGGGCAGAGCGAATTAGAAATAATTTGAAGAGGTTTTCATCTTGCAGTGCACGTAAGACAAACTCATGATGTTGATGTGGAAAGCGGAAGTCATATATTACATTCATATTAGTTATCTTTTTATTCAAACAAAATTATGTGTATATGATGAATGCATGTTTCAAGCAAACACACTTCAGGAACACTAGCGTTGTCTTTCACATGAGAACAGGAGTATATCCTTCGATGCTTTTATAAAAAAAAAAACCTAATTCCACATGAACCCAAATAAACACAGGTTGAGATTTATATGGTTGTTTTTGATTTCAAGAACGAATTATCATCTGTCGTTCACCTTTGTTATCACCGGGCTGAGCAGACGACTGCGAATGCCTCAGCGAATAAGTAGCCAAATGCCATCTGCTCAGCAGACACGAATCTATGCATATGCGACGGTGTACATGGTTAGCCGGAATATTGCAGCAGTGACGAAGCATAGACTAAGATGGACTCTATGAGCAAATACATTTAGTACCCATAAATGCAAATAATACAGTTTTTTTTATTTTGAAGCTATGACATCAAAACGTTGGGGGGAAATAGCATTGCGCACTTAACTTCATAAGCGCTAGCACGTATAGGCGAGGAAAAAGTTCTTCCTATGACTTCATGTTTACATTATTGTGACATTTATACTCTATAAAGTGGCAAACTATGTGTTTCTAGTGCATGGATTAAACTGACTGGCACTTATTTCATTTATTTTCACAATACTGCAGGCCAATGTGCTGGCCCAAGCAGGAGTTAAATTGACTTGAATTAAATGACTTGAATTAAAGTCATTGGCAATGGGATTAAACATGTGGGCACTTCGATTAAACTCACTGGCACGCAGCCTCATTGAGTTGGCACTTGAATTAAATATGTTGGTACTTGGAATGAATGTTTTGCACATAAATTAAAGAGCTTGGAACTCAGATTATTTAAATGGCGTGCAGATTATGTAAGTTGGCACTTGGAATAAAGTGAGCGGCAAAACCTGTAGTGTGTTGACTTTTTTACTTTTAGCTTAGCATTTGCTTTTTA